AAGAGACGTGGAATCAGGCTGTAAATGCCCATGCATCCCGAATGTGGTTGGACACTGGCTCGAATGCCAGTGCTGGCTATATGAACAGAGGTTGAGGCCCAGAGGGAAGGAGGGGACAGGACTACTGGGTGTGGAGGACTACTGAAGCTGTGGTAGAAACAGGTTCCAGATGGTCATTACCCAACACTGGACATGGGCCCAGTGGCTGCCTGGGACACAGGTCGGTTAAGGAAGAGGGTTGTAACTGTGGATGGCCCAAGTCCAGGAGGCAGTGTTGGGAGGTAGAGGCTCGAGGTAGTCGGGTAGAGTCTGATCAGCTGTGACCAGGAGTGGGAGAGCCTGCCTGTGTACCCAACCCGCAGGGCTGCAAGATGGCCATGTCAGGAACACTGCCCTGAGAATGAGCTAGTGATCAGGGCAGGGCAGCCACCTGGGGCTGGGTGCCAGTGGGGGCCCCTGAGGCCCTAGTCTGGCTCTGTACGTCCCTTGCTAGCCCAGTCTCTCCCCATGTAGCAGCTTCGTCTGTTATTTCTGAAATTTGGTCCCATCAGCTCGTGGGAGGGGCAGGTGCCACAGCCAGAGGATTAATGGTCAGAGAAGAGAGGCTGTGTCTTGTCAAGTTCATTATCAGCCTGGATTAGCACTTGACCTGTGGCCTGCACTGGGCAGCCTGTCGACTCATTACGGCTAATTGCGGGGACTGAGTGGCCCCTCCAGCCTCTGTCATCTGGATCTCAGCTTCTGTCCTGTGGAGGCTGGTGGGACTGGGGAGCGGGTAGGGGAATTCAGATGGGGGCGGGAGCTAGAGTCAAGCAGCACCTCTTTGCAGGGCTTCCATCCAGCAGCCCAAGTCCCCACCACCGGGCCAGGCCAGGCCCTTTTGCTCTGCATGCATTTTGGTCCACTGGCCTAGAATCACCAGGCTTCTCAGAGCCCTTGTCTTGCCATGTGCTCAGGGGGTTTAAGAGTGGACCCCTGGACAGAAGGTCTATAGAGTGGGTGTGGTTTTGTCAAGGGCAGGGCTCTAAGAGTGGGTCCTCTTCTCACCCCTACTTTGCCCTTCTCCCCCCCGCACCTTGTCTTGCTTCCTTGTGACTACCTCCCTCTGCCCACACTCGTCTTCCTGCAGGGGCCACCTCAAAGCATGCGGAGGTGGGGGGGTCGTAGATTCACTCACTTGGTCAACAAACTCTCTCGAGGCTATGCAGTGGGGTGGGGGACTGACCTGGACCCTCCATGACATCACTGTCCATCTTGTTTTTATTGGGACAAGTGCCTTGCTGAAGGTGCTAGGCTGTGAATGCTCCCCCCAGGGCGCCCTGGGCAGGTGCTGGTCCTCCCCAGGCTGCTCCCAGGCTTCGGAGCTCACCACAGTGGCGTGGCAGATGGCTCCGCTCTTGAAAGGTAAGGCCGGTGCCTCTTCCACCAGAGGTTACAAGAGTCACCTTCGTGGTCACACTGGGTGTGGCTGAAAGCATGCAGAGGGCTTCTGAGTGTCCAAGTGTCCCCACCCCTCACTTACTTCTGCAGGTCCTGTGCCCATGCTCCTCCACTGTCCAGCTCTGCTCCGTCAGCCTCTGTTAGCAGGGGGCTCCATGATTCACCCAGGGAGGTTCCCGGGAACTTTCCACTGGGCACAGCTTTAAATACAGCTCCTGACGATCCTCTGAGGAAGTCGGCCCGTGTGCGGCCGTGAGTGTCACCCTCGCTGCAACCGCGCAGTTAGGACTGGCAGATCTCTCCTCATCATGGAATCAAGACGCACGGAGCCGGCTTTGTCGCCACTGAATTATGGATTTAATAGCAGAGGAACCGAGCAGGCTGCCTGGGGTACTCCATGCTGGCTCAGGGCTGGGGGGCGGGGGGCCAGGACTGGGGCTGTCATTGCCCGGCATCCGCCCGCTACCTGTCAGTCGGCAGAAGCAAGCTGAGTGATTTATCCGCCTGACTTTATGAGGTACTAACAGAGAAGGCTGAGAGCAGAAGCTAAATAATTAATGGTCCTTGCTTGCTCGCTTGCTCGGGGATCAGCTGAAGCAGCTGGGGCTGGGGGGGGGCGTGCAATGATGGCGGAGAGCTGGGAAACCAGTGGAAGACCGGAAGACCCCAACTCAGGGCCCTAGGGGTCACAGACACCTCTAACGAGTGTCCCCAGGAGCAGAGCTCAGAGGATCCCAGGGCTGGCCTATCCTCACTCCCCACTTGTGCTCTGTCCGCCACCACCCTCCCTCCCGTGGCTTGATATGGTCCTTGTCAGGCCTCTGGGCGCTGCTCTCGGCCATGTAAAGCGTGGGAGATGAGTGGAGGGCAGGAGAATATGAGGGTAGGCTGTGCGCCCCTCAGCACCCCCTTTCCTGCAGCTTCAGCCTCCCTCTGAGGAGCAGCCCCTGGTCCTGCTGGACACATCTGTCCTCCTCCCTTCTGCTCTCCTCTGTCTCTTCCTGCCCCCACCCCCTCCAGCATCCTGAGGACCCCTCCCCTGCCCAAGGACACAGGCAGGCCAGGGACAGGGTGAAGCATCCTTGAGGAGAGAGCCTGGGGGTACTAAAAGGCTGAGCTTGGCTGCCAGCACCTGGGGAGGGGAGATACCCATCAAGGCAAAACGGAGTGAGAGCCAAGCCCCCTGTGAGGCCTGGTGTGCCTCCTCCCTGAGTCAGTTTCTTTATTGATGAAAGGGGCTGTCAGTGACAACGCACTTGAGACGGCCTTCCTCCAGGAAGAGAGGTGCTTGCAAGCCTGCCTCCTTTTGTTTTTGCTCACTCTGTTCTAAAGCTGGCCAGGCTCGTTACAATGGGGTGATTTTATTTGCATTTTTAATAAATGAAAGTTTGCCAGCAGGAATTGAGAGGGTCACACAGGTGGATTATATCCTGTGGCACAAACCCAGGGCAGGGGGCCAGGGAGGGTGAGGTAAAGAGGCCTCCTCAGGGAACTGCTACCAGGAATAACCCATGTGGCTCCATTGCCCACCCACCAGGCTACACACTCAGGTCCTGCCTCAATGTCCCCACCAGGCCCAGGCCTATGTTCAGGATCCTGGGACCTCAGCCTCCCTGAAGCTTTCCCAGTTGCTAAACTGGACGTGGGAATAAAAGACTCACATAGCATGCCTCCAGCACACGGGGTCCTGGGCCATCTGAGAGCGTCACAGGCAAGTGACTGAATCACAGGGAGGCCTATAAAGTGACCTGAGCTGCCACACGTTGGCCACCACATTCTTCTCCTTTGGGCAGTCCTGATGACCGGACTACGAGGTCTGACAACTAAAATCATGAACTTGTTGCAATGATGTTGCTAACCTTTTTTGATATCAGAGGGATTATTCATTATGAATTTATACCAACTGGACAAACAGTTACCAAGTTTACTATTTGGAAGTGTTGCAAAGGCTGCGTGAAAAAGTTAGACCACCTGAACTTTTCGCCAACAATTCATGGCTCTTGCATCACGGTAATGCACCAGCTCACACGGCACTGTCTGTGAGGGAGTTTTCAGAGAGTAAACAATAACTGTATTGGAACACCCTCCCTACTCACCTGATTTGGCCCCCAATGGCTTCTTTCTTTACACCAAGATAAAAGAAATATTGAAAGGAAGACATTTTGATGACATTCAGGACATCAAGGGTAATACAATGGACAGCTCTGATGGCCATTCCAGAAAAAGAGTTCCAAAATTGCTTTGAAGGATGGACTAGGCACTGGCATCGGTGCAGAGCTTCCCAAGGGTGACCATACTTTGAAGGTGACCGTAGTGATATTCAGCAATGAGGTATGTAGCACTTTTTCTAGGATGAGTTCACGAACTTAATTGTCAGGCCTAGTATGTCTGCTCCTTGTGGTCCCAGAGCACAATTTTTTTTTAAAAAAAAGATTTTATTGGGGAATTGGGAGAGGGGAACAGCATTGGGGATGCCAGTTCTGAGCAGCAGGGACCCAGTTCGGATCCCACATAAGGGCCAGTGATGCTGCGCCCTCTACAGCTAAGATGGTGAACAACAGCTCGACCTGGACCTGGGCTGCTGTGAGTTGCCGGCAACAGGGTTAGGCTGCAGTGGGGCTGGACAGCAGCAAACGTGAGCTTTCATAAGCTGCCATGAGCCACCGTCCAATGGCCGGCGAGCGACTGCCTCATCTGGGAAGAGTGCAATGATAATACCGGAGCACAATTTTGAGAAGGCATTTACCAGGTGGGCGGAAGGCTGATCCGAGGCAGATCATCCACTTGAGTTTGTTTTTAATTAACACTTGTTTAGTGCAGTTTTTTCTCTATCAAATCTCCCTTCACTCAGCCAGGCACCCTCTCAGCCCAAAATAATCTGTAGTGAGCCCTTGCTCAAATATAAGCAGCTTTGTCACTTACTAAACACAACTAATCCAATTTGGGGATTAGAGGTGGGCATCAGTCAGTGGCAGTCCTCGGAGGATCCGGGACTGGGACAGCAAGGGCAGGCCCTGGGCCAGGGTCATGACAAGTCCCCTCTCCATGACAATGTAGGCCTGGCCTGGCCATGGAGTAGAGCAGCTATGAGGGTCTCATAGAGGCACAGCAGGCCTCAGCCCGGCTGTGGCCCACCAGGACCAGGGCCCAGCCCCACCCTATACCACTGCCCCCCTTGTCCCCACTGTCTGCCTGTCCTGGACAATAACTGGCAGCGTGCACCATGCAGCCCTGCAGCCTGACCACTGGGAGACTAGGTCCAACACACCCCATTTTCTGAAGAAACAGCAGGGACCCAGGAGTGTGGGTAGGGCCTGCACTGTAAGATCTCAGCATCACTGGGGGGGCCAGGGCACACATCCCTCAGCCTGAGACTCCAGTACCTCCACTCCCACCCCCGCACCCCATGCCAGCAGTCCTGGGATCTTCTTGTCTTTAACAGCCCTGGTCTCAGCCCCCTGCCCATTCAGCCCAGCCTGCTGAGCCTGGAGGACATGGGGCACCTATGGGCCTCTCACGCCTGGCTCAGGTATGACTGGGGCCTTCCAGGGGCCCTCCTGCTGGGTTTTGCCTGCCTGAAGCAGAAACTGCAAAACTAACCAGACCACGTGCAGCTCCCAGTTGACGGAAATATTGACTGCTGTCTAATCCACTCGCCCTCCAGCACTACTCATTCTTCTGAGATGCTCAGCAGCAACAGCCCGCTTAATCCGGCCCGACAATGTCACCGGGTCATGGTGAGGGAGCTGAAGACTAGCAGAGCTGGGGTCTGACCTCTGCACCCTGGTCGACCATGAGCAGCCATGGAGTGTGTGTATGGGGGGATAGCGTATGGGCTGAGGCCAGCTGAGGCCCTACCACACCTGGCGGGCCATGCTAGCGCGATGCTGGGGGCTCCACCTGGACCCTGGAGGGAGTTGAGTGAGCCCAGCCTACCCAGAGTCCAGTCCTGTGTTGGGCACCTCAGCGGGGCCTGGTGGCTGGATGGGGGCTGGGACAAAGCCACTCCTTATGAGAGTCCCTTGTCCTGCAGTAGGACTGGCCCAGATGCTCTAGGCACACAGCAGGAGCTCAGCATCTGATCCAAGCTCCTCCTGCCCCTTGTTGGTGCAGCGCCTCTCTGCTCTGAGCCTTCCCTCTCTTGTATCCAGCTACTCAGCTCTGCTCTTCAGAGGCTTTGCCTGAGACCCTTGACCCTCTTTGTGGCTTCAAGGCCAAAGGTGGAATGGAGGGGGTCAGGGAGGGGCTGGGACACAGTGTCTCTGCTGGACCATGTGTGAGCCCTTCATACCTGTTGGGGTCCAGGGCACCCTCAGGCCAGGACCACTGCAGGGTGGAGGCCAAATTGGGTCCACAGCGGGCCTGGAATACAGTTCCTTGTCAGATACAGGAGGGACAGCCACGTTCCACCTCAGTGACTTTCTGGCCCAGCACTCTGGAAGCCTCCCTGAGTGGTGCCCCTGAAACACCCGAAGCAGAGCAAGGTGCATTCACTCGTTTCTCGGGCCCTCGTTCTCCAGGCCCACCTGTGACACCACCTCCCCTCTGAGCTGAGGCCGAGGACAGTCACTCATACCTTAGAGAGAGCAAGCGAACCCTGACAGGCAGGGCCTGGGTTTTAGGGTGGTCGTGCTGCCAGCTTGGACTGTACATGCGTGGGAGGAGCTGAGGACCTAGGACAGCCCCGCCACCTCAGCAGCCCTGACCTGACAGCTCATCTCTGCTGGGCACTGCAGCTCTATGGTGACCCTGGGCACCAGGAGATTTATCAGAAGAAATGGAGCTGATAGATTAAAGTGAAACCAGGAGGATTGATTTTTCTCTCTGGGCACTTAAATGCTGCTCTCAATCAGGCGATAAAACTCCCAGGCAGGAGTGGCCCTGGGGACAGAGGGGGGGGATCAATCTCCAGCCCAGCCTCTGGGGGGAACCTTGTGTGGAGTCTCTTCTCCTCCAGCCCTTGAGGACCAAAGGTTGACGGACACCCTCCCCCACCGACTGCATGACACCAGGCTAGCCCTGCCCCAAGGGGTCTCAGTGACATTAATGAGTCAGTGACTCATCACTCATTCATTCAAGCCCTGTGCCAAAGGGATGACAGTGAGTCTCTGCGGTACTCATGGTATCATCTGTAATAGTTCAGATTGGGTGGGACCCCAATCCACCCGTGTCTGCCTGCTGCAGTTCTCCTGTGCCCTCTGCTCTGCAGTTCCACCTCGGCCTACCCACCTCTCTCCTGCTGTGGGGCCAGGTGTGGATTGAGTTAGGTAGGATGGACCCCCTTTTTTTCTAGCTGTTTCAGCCTGGGAGTGAGGCTGGGGACCCTGTGGGCACCGCAGGTGGCTTTGGGCCACATGATTCCCCAGGCTGGGACTCTGAGTGGCCAGAAGGTGGTTTCTGCTGTGCCCTCCTTTGGTCCTGGCAGCAAGGACAGGTGGTGTTGGCAGGCACTGGCTGAGGAAGGGCAGGTGACCAAATGCTGGGCCTGGTCTTGGTGCCACCGGCGCATGCCAGCCTGATCCTGGGAGGCTATGAGGAACCACGGAGGCCCAGATGCGTCTCTGGGAGCCTGGGTGGGGTTACCTCTCTTAGGGCCTGGGGGAGAAGCACTCCACTGTTCAGTGTGGGGGCTGCTGAGCAGTGTCAGCATACCAAGCCTTGGGGACTCTGAAGTTAAATTCATCACTAAATAACCCCAACACATACTGACCCTCCTTCCAAAAAGAGGCACAAATAAAACCCTAGTGGCAGTGACCAAGCCTGCCAAGGCAATGGCTGAGATTTCTGGGCCCAGACCCACCCCCTCCTGGAAGTTCTACGTTGCCTGCCTCTCCGAGGGTCCTGCCAAGGATGTTGGTGCTTGTCTGGTGTGTGCCTGAACTTTGGTTTCCCCTACATTTAGCAACCTGCCCAGCAGGGTTGGAGTAGGGGTGCAGAGAAAGAGCAAAACTTCCCCACCCCCTGATTAAACACCCAGGCTGCAGACCTCAGCCCAGGGTGAGAAGGGTTCCTATGTACTACTTACCTGGTGGTCTCTGGCAGCCCCTCCCAGCTGTCAGCAGGGGTGACCCAATTGGACTGTGGCCTCTGGTGGCCGCATGGAGCTGCAGGAGAAACGAAGCGCTGAGTTGGAAGAAAAAAAGGGCATGTTGAGGGCTGGGTACCAGGTTGGTCTCTAGGAGTTGGGGGAGACAGTCAGCAGGGCCAAGCAGCCATTGCCCACCAGGTCCAGTACCCAGGACAGGCAGGAGACTGTGTGCACATGATGCCAGCCAGGCGCTAGCTAAGGCCCCAGCAGGCCGGCCACATTTTCACACCCAAGGTGTCCTTCCCCAGTGGCTCTGGCCTCTGAACTCTGGGTGCCTGAACCATGGCAGGCAATCCTGGGAGCTGGGCACAGACTCTGACCCTCCTCTTGGCCTCATGATGACCAGCAAATTGCAGGAAAAGTGTTAGCAGAGTAGGCTTGTCATGGGGCACTCCGACCACAGTCTGAAGAGGTGGCTGCCATATTTCCCTGCTCTCACCAGGCAAACAGAGGCTCCGCTCCATACCGGACCACCAGGGGGACGGACACAGCCCAGGGCCTGCCCCTGTGCATCCTGGCCTTCGCTGGCCAATGCCCACCGTCAGCAGAGCAAATGGGCACCGCACCATGTTCTCTGTGAATCTGGGGGTGAGAACAGCCGGCTGGGCGAGGGCGTTTCACACACACAACATGGGCTCCTGGTGCTGGTGGGTGTTTGCAGGCGCTGCTTTAGTTAGCACAAAGAAGATTTGAGACTGAGGTGCTGAGCCTGTGACTGAGCAGTGCTGGGGGATGACGGGGCTGGGAAGGGGGGCCTGGCCCAAGAAAGTAAGTTGCTTGGACCTTAGGGGCTGTGCTGCCAGGTAGGGTCATCAGAGGGCCCCGTGCCAGCCTGACAGTGTCTGGGGTACACAGGCCAAGGTCCTGTGGGCTTGGCTTGCGTGTTTCGTTCCGAAGCCCCTGACAGGACAGCCTGGTGCCTCTAGGGGACCCTCCTTGCCACACAGACATGCCATCACTGACTCCACACTCCACCTGGAAGCAGAGCTATAGATACCTGGCCGGCCCCATGCCTCTGGACCTCAGGAAGCCTCTCTGTCTGATTTGGATGCCTCCCTGGACCGCATGCACCTCCCTCACAGCTATCCCAGAGCCCCCAGTGGGTGCTGACAGCCGGATGCACTGGCTCAGTTGGAGTTTTTGAAAAACAGCCACTTGAGGCGAGGAGGGTCTGGCCTGTGTTCCCGTCAGCGTTGTCTGTCTGGGGGGGGGTATGTGCACCTCGCTCCTGTACCCCCATGTTCTTGGCTCCCCCGGAGCAGCCCTCTTTCCTGGTGGCCCCCTGGCTGCCGCCCGCCTGCCTCAGGGTGTGAGATTTCACAGTGGCGTCCTCCTTACCAGCTTGTGTCTCACGTAGGGGATGTTTCCATTTTTACAGCAGAAAGCAGCAGATTCCAAGCGCCTCAGCCACAGCCGGAGTGCGGCAGCCCCCGGGGAGCTGCTGCCACGTCAGGTGCTTTGTGGGGAGAGGCTGCTCTGCCAGCCACGGCCCTAATTGCTGTCACTCAGGGAGCCAGCTGTAGCCTGGGGCGGCACAGAGAGATGGGAACGGCACTGGTGTGCTGGAACCATGGGGAAGGGTGTCTGAGAAAGACACGGCTGCTGGGACTTGGCTGGTGTCCACATCTGCTGGCAGCACCATGCCCAGAGACCCAGTGGAAGTCCTGGAGTCAGGATTTTGCCTGTAGGACTTTCATCAGGTGGGGTGTCTGATACCTCCAGGCCAAGTGGGCATTAGCCCAGGTGGGTTGGGATCTTGGCACCGTTTCTGTCAGTCACATGGCCCTGGGTCAGATTCCCATGCTAGCCGCCTGTCCCAGTGACTGAGGCGGTTCGTGGTGGCTCTGCTGCCATCGCCATTACCTGACTCTATTCCACTGCCAAATGTCACATGCAGACTCTGTCTTCATTTCCAGGGGTGGGAGAAACACCATATCCTCTGTCACTTCCCAATCTTGCTTGAGGTTGGTCACCCAGGACGCAGAACCTCTCGGAGCATTGCAAGGACCATTAGGAAGATTTTCTCAGAAAGAAATATTGGCTGCCTAGGGCATAGCAGGCCCATGAGCTTACTGTCCAGAGGTCTCACAAGCCAATGTGAACGCCACGCTCCTCCTGAGACTTAGAAGGAAGAAGGGCAGAAAGGGGGCAACAGCACACTTGGCAATTTACAAATAAAATGATAAGAATTCTTAGAAAGCAGGAGAAGGATTTGGCTTTACCACCATCAAAGTTGTGCACTTAGAAAGAATAGGGTGCTATTTGGCTCATCACATTGATGGTTGGGGGGCATTGCTGACCCTGCAGCCCTGGGGGGCATTGCCATCTCTGC